CAACACAGCTAAAGCTGACAATTTCCATGGGCAGGCAAACAATTACCATTAGGCAGAGCTGCGGTTGCAGCGGCATGTGACACGCTCAGACGTGTTGTATCATCCAAATGAAAATATCCTGTTTATCCTTCCAACTGAGACGCAGCTCATTAGACAGACAGAAATCAGCAAATGTACAGATTTGCTGTTTACACTCAATGTCAAATCTTTAAGTTTCCATCCATTACAGACAGAAACATTGAGCAGGTGCTCATTTGTGGTTGGCTGTGTGTCCTGAAAGCACCATCCTGAGAGAATTTTCTTCATTTGAAGTATAAATTCAGCAGCAACTTTGAGAGTGGATAACGATTGATCGTCTGTGTGCTTGCTTGTTTCTGCTTGTTTGTGTACGTTGCATCTCTGTTAATGGCTCCTTTTTATCTGAGAACAGTGGGATCCATTAAATAGGACCAAAACAACAGTGGAAAGGCACAGCGTTTTTTTCCCTGCGCATTGTTGATGACAGAGCCTTTCTTGCAGGTCAGTGTTTTGATGGCGAATAAAGACGGCAAGCGAGACATTTAAATGCTTTCAACATGTTCGTGATGATTGTTTGGACCTCTGTCTGGAGGAATAATCACAAATCAACATGTTTTGATGCATTATGTCTTCAAAATATCAATTTGAACCATAATTACAGACCGAAATTGTCAGTTAATAGAGAAATTAGCGTAAACGGTTGATGGATGGTGTTTGGTTGTATTCACAGGCCGTACACTGTTGAATCTAAACTTGAGAAGTTTGTCCAAATTGCATTAGGAAAGTGGATTTTGCTGAGCGCACACTAAAATATGATTTATTCCTTGTATGTTTTGGCTGTGAAATGTATTTGGCTCTAGCTGGAACTGCAGCATTTGAAAGAACAAGCTGTTTCAGTGTCTCATCAATAATATATCTTCTGAAAAACTACATATTAGGGATCGGAACATCACAACACACAATGATGGTTGCTGAGCTGATGAATCGGGACAGAATTTAAAGAAGCATATAAATGGGAACTTCCTTGCTCACGGCCTTGTTCAAAGATGCAACAGCGTGCTGGTTTTGATCCGGTGAGATCTGTGCTGAGCGAGGCCCTAGGCGCAGGATTCTTGCTGATGAAACTGTAGTAGCTGTAGAAGACTCACACCGGCTCACCAGGGTGGAAACATTCTCCGGTCCAGTAAATGTAATTTCTCCTTTGGGTCATTGCCCGACGGCAGGACTGCCGAGGTGGTACCTTCAACGCGCTCTCATGCAGAAAAGCACAAATGTTTTGACAGATTCCTCTTTATTACAGAAACCCTGTTTCATCTTTCTTTGGAGCTTTTGCTTTGTTAAAATTACAGCACATGCTAGTGCAAGATTTAAGTTTAACTGCATACTATCTCTGGAATACTTAACAGTTATTTATAATGTGTAAAACATTTACATTATCCCTAAACTACTGAATATACCTTTAACATTATTATATGATTAGCTAAAGCAAGGTAAGATTATTATTTTATTAAGTCAAATCAACGTTTAATGCTATCCACCTCATTTTTCAATGCAAATGTTAATTATTTCTTATGAATGTGCAAGACTTCTAATTCATTAGCTATAGGTAAATAACTCAAATGATGTGGAGTAAATGGTAAAACTATTTGCGCTACAAACCAGCGATTTCCATCATAAAAAATGAAAACATGATAACAAATACTAGTATGCTACCAGTCAAAAGTTTTTGAACAGTAAGATTTTTAATGCTTTTAAAGAATTATCTTCTGCTCACCAATCCTGCATTTATTTGATCCAAAATACAGCAAAAGCAGTAATACTGTGAAATATTTTCACTATTTAAAATAACTGTTGTCTATGTAAATAGATTTTAAAATGTAATTTATTCCTGTGATTTCAAAGCTGAATTGTTAGCATCATTACTCCAATCACATGATCCTTCAGAAATCATTCTAATATTCTGATTTGCTGCTTAAAAACCTGTATTATTATTGTTGTTGTTGAAAACAGCAGAGTAGAATTTTTTCAGGTTTCTTTGATGAATAGAAAGTTCAGAAGAACAGCATTTATCTGAAATAGAAATCTTTTGTAACATTATAGATGTCTTTATCATCACTTTTGATCAATTTAAAGTGCCCCTATTATGGGTAATGAAAGGTTCATATTTTGGTTTTGGGAGTCCCCAACAACAGGTTGACATGCACGCAAGGTCAAAAAACACTTTCAGTGTCTTATAATATGAATTTATTTTACCTTACTTGCTCAATGACTCCCAAACGATTCGCTCAGCGATTCATTTTTCCAAACCCAGATTGGTCTCATTTACATTTCATCATGTCTGTAATGCCCGATAAAGCAGCATTTGTGAGCTTCTTTGTGTACAGCGTTCACATAGAATTAAATAGAAAGCAGTTATTTTAAATAGTTAAAATATTTCACAATATTACTGCTTTTGCTGTATTTTTGGATCAAATAAATGTAGATTTGGTAAGCAGAAGATAATTCTTTAAAAAACATTAAAAATCTTACTGTTCAAAATCTTTTGACTGGTAGTGTATATCAAGCTGGCTTTTTGTTGTTGTTGTTGTTATTGTTTTGTTTTTAAGCTAAAATAAATGGAAGTGGTTGATACCAGAAGCATTCACAGTCGAGTTATAAATGGTCATGTCCATGCTAACAATAAGGTGGACAGAAAATACTAAACTAACAACTTTAAAGGTTTCGTCAGGCAAAGGCAAATACATGTTCACTGCAGTCAACTGTTTTAGACAACAAAAATCACAGATTTTTAGTAAGGTTGAGATGAAAGAAATGAATTGTCTAAACAGAGTAGCCTATCGCCTATGGCCCAAAAATAACTACCCATCATGACCTCAGACTGAACTTAAACAGAACACAAACAGTTAACCTTTATTAGACAGAATCCTGCAGACTTGAGGCCCTTTGACACAACACCAAACATATTTTCATACTGATGTTGATGTATAAAAGTAATCTAGCATTTCTAAGAAAGAGAGTAATTTAAAAACAAAAAAGAATAAGAAAAAGCTGTTAATAATGACCTCAACTCGACTTTGTGCAGAACACAAACAGAGACAGCAGATTGAATATTTAGCAGACATGTTCCAACAGACTTAAGGCCCATTCACACCGAGAATGACTATAACTACAGAGTTTTAATAGTTGTTCTATCACCGTATCTACACCGGACACGATTATAGAACTCATTATAATCAGTGATGCTGTCTACACTGGGTGCAGCGCGACACAACAACTGTTCACTTCAGAACAATAACAGAATAATGGTAACTACAAACATGGAAAAATATCGTTGTAATCACAACGAACAATTATTTAAAGGTGAAGAGCGATAAAAAAAAAAATCAGTGACAGCCAATCTGAATTCGTCCTGCTTTAAAGAGCTTGAGCATTTAAAGCAGCAGACGACAAAAGGCAACTCGCATTTATAATAAACAAAACGTTAAGGCAACTTTAATACATTCCGTAAATTATAGTTATTATCCATGTCGTTGACAAAAGTATTAGCCGAGTCCGATATCAAAAGGAATGGATAGAGCCTCTATATGCCATCACTCCTCTCTCTAAAATAATAGGAGCGTTTCCTCTATAATTGAGCAAATACAGGTGAAAGCAAATATGGGCGAGAGAGCAGCTGTTGAGGTGGGTCTCATAAATTGAAGTTGACGTAGCTAAAATGAACACATGCACAAAAAGAATGGAACATAATCGCTCTGAGCACGTCTAACAGCGATTCCAATGCAGGCTGCTGACACAAGCAATCTTACATCACAGCCACACGACCGCAAGATACATACAAACACAAGGCCGGACCCTGATGCAATAAAACCATGCGGCGATGACCTCTGCGTACCAATCAATTGACAACTTAAATTTTTATGGCATTGACGAGTCTGTAGTGGCAGGCAGTGCGTGCATACTATCATATGTCGGATGAGAAGTCACAACAGGGGGTCTTTGTTACAGTAAGATTTAGGCTTCCTAACAGCGCCGGGATAATAGTCGGGTTACAACTGCTCCACCCAATCAAACCCAAAGTCTGTGTGATTTTTCCTCCGCCAGCCGCTGTTTACACAGAACATTCTGTGAGATGTAGCTAGGCAACCAGTCAGCCTCTGCCATCCCTCTTTCTTCCTCTTGAGAGGGAGCTTATGTGGGCTTAGCTCTAGAGGAACAGTGGCCCTTTGCAGCGAAGAAGGGAATTACCTTGGAAAACACTGGATTGCGCCCGCACACAAAGGGCAAAAGAGGGAGGCTGATATGGCAGAGGTATTCTGCAGTGCGGGATAGACCGACATCATTAGTCGTAGTCAATTTTGTCTCGAGTCGCTAAATCTACACGATGAGGTAAAAGGCACTTCGGGATACGTACTGTAAAAGGACACCTTTTGACCGAACATGCAGAACTTTAGATTTCCAGAATGAGCTACTTGTAGCCTAGAAGCATTAACTCGACCCATGCCATCTTGCCTTGCCAACTGTCATGAGTTTAACTCTTAAACCTGCGTATATCCAGGAGGGATGATTGTAACTGGATAAGTTTGTGAGCCAAAGTCCAACAATGAAGTGTTTAATCTATCCACACTGCTCATTTCGACAGAGAGGAAAATCGTAGTTCCACCATTAAGCTGTCACACACTGAACAACCAATAACTGGCTGAAGTGAAAGAGAAATGCAGGGACGTCTGAATGGTAATTTATGTGTCATTATTTTTCAATTTCAGCAACAAACTAGCATTTATTTCCAACAGACCCAGATGCAACGTCACAATGAATGCAGGTCTACAGTGCCATCTAGTGCATAACAAGAGAATAATCATGTGATGTCTGAGCACTGTTCACAACAGCACTAAATACTGTAGGCAAGGGAACAATCTAGCAATTAGGGATTCTTATATGCATTGCCTATTATAAAACCACACCACCAAGGTTTTTATAGAAACGTTGTCCACTTTTATTTCTTAAAACATCTTTATAAAAACACAAATATAAAATGAATGGGCAGTTCCACTGTGAATTCTTTTTTTTACATAAGTAATTTGCACATTACAAAGCCACCTTCTATGAAAAACATGATATATAATTGCAATTTTCTTTTAACACAATTTCTTAAGAGTAAAATCCAAAGGGGCAGAAAGCTAAAAACAAGGCAAAATAAAAGACAAAGAAAACCGATAAAAAGTGAAAATGAGAAGAGCACAAGTCAGCTCGAGAAAGGAAATGAAAATGCATCACTGTATGTGTGAGTATGTGAGACAGTGACAGAAAGTGTGAAAGAGCAATAAAGAAAGACGCAAAGGGAATGACAAAGAATGATAACAGCAAAAAAGACAAAGAATGAGGGATAGAGCCCTAAAGACTGAAATGAGGGAAGGACATGGGCTATCTGCTATTTGAGAAGGGCTTGGTAGAGCAGTTGCGAGCGGCTGGTGCTTCTCTCGTTCTCTAGACAGAAGAGCAGATCCCTGAGGTTTACACGCGTGATGCGCTGGCGAGTGTACTGCCTCGATGCTCCTGCATTTAAGCCCCCGGATGCACTCGCGCACAAACCTGAGCCCTGTCAACACACACACACACACATGAAATTTGACAACAATGCTATCTAAACTAACATTTTGATACTAATGTTGGTAGATTGATAAAATAGGTGTAATGTAATAGTGACCATTCTAAAGGAGAAAAGAAAATGAGTAAGACTTAATTTAAACTATCGCTGCACGATAAATCACATGCCATTATCATGCGCATCTCGTCAGTAAAGCCGGTTCTGTGATTAGTAGATTCATCTGCGATTATGAACACGATATTGCGTAGCTTGTCAGTGAACTACAGCTCTGTGCTACTAATCACAGAATCGGCTTTACTGACGAGATGCGCGTGATAATGGAACGCGATTTATCGTGCAGCCCTAATTTAAACCTATATTTTTTGGCTGATTTCCTTTTTTCCCCCCTTCATCTCAACAAAAGAGATTTTGAGTTAATGATTATTGCAGGGTAGTTCTTTTGACATTTGCCACTGGCTCTGGTGTCTCGGTAGTGGTTAAACATGAGGTAAAATTAATTTTGAGTAAATCTAACAGGCAATCTTTGGTCTCATGAAGTGTTTTATATTTTGAAGAAAAGGAAAAGGCAGTGGTGCTTAATATCATTTTGTTTTATTGTAATGTATGTACGTTCCCTGAACTACATTTTTGCGTCTATTAATATGTTTAAATGAAAATGAAAAGAGGCAGCGTTTGATATCATATTTCGTCTTATTGTAAAATACATACAGTGAGGATAACCGGAGTAGCCAAGGCGAGCTGACTGACGTTATCAGGTACGCTGCTGTTCCATTTGCAGAATTACCGGACTAGCGTCCAAACTCCAAACTTTGCGTACTTGGTATTGAGAAACGGCCAGATTCTCCGGTACTGCATTCCACAACAACACTTAGCTGCCTGCAGATGCACCTGCCTATAAATCGGCCTAATTTGCAGCACAATCAGCCGATGCCGATTAATAAAAAAAAATGCCAAAAATCGGCCGTCCGATCAATCGGTCGACCTCTAATGATAATATAATTTAATATAAACATTACATAAAGCAATATCAAAAAAAATTATCTGAAAAAAAGTGAATGATACTATAATGTGATATAATATCAATGTAATATATATAAAATGAAAATAAATTACATGATATAGAATTATATTTGTTTAATATTTTCAAATTGTGAAGTTCTCTAAAATTTGTAAATTATAATATGACAAAAAAATTGTATATAAATGAGAAATAAATTGCATAAAACAGAAATGTATATTTAAAATAATAAGAATTAGCTGAAAATGTATCACAAAAATATTTAAATAAAATATTAATTTGCAATTATTTTTCTGAAAAGTGATGATAATGTAATATTAATATAAAATATAAATAAAATAAAATAAAAATCGCATGATATAGAATTATTATTTAAATAAATTCTTAATTTTGTAAAGTTTTTCTCTGCAAAATGTGAATGATAATATAACAAAAAATATAAATAACCCAAAATAACTATAAATAGCATGATACATGAATATATACTTAAAATTGTGTATAGAATTGCTGAACAAAATGGCTGTGTGTAACTATGCCTTTAGACTGTCCTATCTGCCGTTTGTGACAATCTGAGACCCTTGAAGCACAACCTGACATCTCAAACCTGCCCAACAGGTGCTAAATGATTTAAAGAGGGCACGAAGAGGGACAGAAGGAGATGAGGAGAAGGGCAGCAGACTGCCATTATGAGAGAGGGATGTTTGGTACCTCTGTGTCAGTCCCAAATGAAGGAGAATCCAGTTTTCTTTTCTTTCTGGGTCCGATAGCCGCCAACGCCGTCAAGTTGGCCTCTCTCTGTCGTATTTGAGCCAATTCCTGCTGCTGCATCTGTAGCCACAGGCATACATATATCAGCTCTGACCCATAATCAAACACAATGGTCCTCTGACAAGATAAACATCTCAAGTGTGCCATCTTACCTCTTTGGCCTTCTGTTTCAGCCGCAGCTGCTCGGGGTCCTCTTGTCGCGAGCGTGACTGCAAAACATAAATAGCAATTAGAGAGGATCAACAGTCAAAATACACAGAGACATCTGCTGGAATCAAATAAATATGAAAAAATGAAGGCTGTCAATCAATGAAAATATTTAATCGTGATTAATTTAATATTTTTTTGTTATTTAAGAAAAGAAACAAGAATAAGTGTATAAATGTGGTCTTTACTCGCACAAAAAGACATGCAAGTATGACACGAATAATGTAGCTTTCTCCCACTTTTTAGATGCACACTTACACTACCATTCACAAGTTTGGACACAGTAAGATGCTGTAATGTTTTTGACAGAAGTTTCCAATTTACCTGATGAAAAATACGGCAAAAACAGTAATACTGTGAAATATTTCCTATTTTAATATATTTTAAAATGTAATTTATTCCTGTGATGGGGAAGTTGAATTTTCAGCAGCCATTCTGATGAAAAATACGGCAAAAACAGTAATACTGTGAAATATTTCCTGTTTTAATATATTTTAAAATGTAATTTATTCCTGTGATGGGGAAGTTGAATTTTCAGCAGCCATTACTCCAGGCTTCAGTGTCACATGATCCTTCAGAAATCATTCATACTCTGATTTGGTGCTCAAGAAACATTTACTATTTTTATTAATACTGAAGGTTTTGTGTAAACTGTGATACAATAGAAAGTACAAAAGAACAGCATTTCTTTGTTTGACTTTTTCTGTAAGAAGTCTTTGCTGCCCCTTCTTTTTCTTCACTGATCATTTTAATGCACCCTAGCTGAATAAAATAATTAATTTCAAAGTTTTGAACTGTAGTATACATGTATAAAGATAGACAGAAATAAAGAGAGTATAAACAGAGAAAGAGGGACAGAGAGAGAGCAAGATAGAGAGATATTTATTTTAAGTTTGACAAGGCAGGATTAAAAAAGAATCCTGAAATGTAGCAAACAACAATTAACATCATAAAAGAAATCATAATTAAATCATTAAATCATAACATATTACGAGCAATTATAAGTAATGCTAGCCTGCATTCCTCCACGCTGATGTTCACATTATTCATATAAATGGTGGCGTTTCATTTGGACGTTACTTTACTTATGGCTTATCATACTGCGTTGATAGTGTATCACTTTTAATATTATTTGTGTGTTCATTTATATAATTTCCTACATTTCAGTTCTTGAAAAAGTAGAATGTCTAAATAAGCACTCAATTTGAGACTCGGTGCACTTAGAGCCATTTCTATGAGCTGTGGTACTGGACAAAAGTGAAGTGAAACAAGAGAGATTGAAACAAATACTGCAGATTCACTCTCTCCCTGACACACGGAGTCTTGTTTTATTCTCAATATCATATTTGGAATCCATACATTGTGACGCACTGAATCATAGCGTATCTTGTTTGAAAATAAAATAAAGCCATTAATCATAGTTAATGAATTGCAAGCATCAAATCCATTGTAGTGTGTGAGAGAGAAAAAAAATCCAATTGTACCACTGAGTTTGGAAGACTGAACCTGTTCTGAACTTAAATCAATGATCAGAACCTCTGGCCAATGCTAGTATTAAAGGTGTGTGTGTGTGTGTGTGTGAGAGAGAGAGAGAGAGAGAGAGTATGGCTGGAGGTGGATTACTAACCTTAGCTGCCTTCATTACAAAACCACAACCTAAAATAGTTCATTAATTTAATAAAATAAAATAAAAATATTAGATTAAAAAAAAACTTAAATGTCAAAATTTTTAAAAAGTATAAATATTGGCTTGACCACTAACTGAAATAAAATAAATTTAAGTTAAATTACTAAAAACTTAAACTTAAATGAAATAAAGCTAAACAGAAATACTTAAAGAAAATAATTAAGTTGACAAAAGCAAAACACAATTACTTAAACCTAAAATGAAATAAAAACTATCAAATAAAATACGAAAATATAAAAATAATAGCTAAAAGTATATAATACTAAAATAACACTGGTTCACAGTATAAAAATGTATATTACACTGTTACGTGACATATGGTCATGATAATGGCACTGTAACGATCATAATTCACACACAAACTACTGTGTACAGCCTGAAATGAATTAACCTTGAGGAAAATGCAACATCTTTTCATCCCAATCAGTTTAGCTAAACTTTGTGTACTACTCATGTATGTTGTGCACAATGTCTCCTGGGTAAACGTTAAAGTGAAATGAACACAACACAAACCTGAAAGTTCCTCCAGCACCATCCTTTGTTTTATTCTTCTGAGCTAACGCTACAGACACAGAGCCCGGAGCCAGTTTGGTGCTACTCACAACACCATGCTTCACAGCGACTGAAAGAGAGAGAGGTTACGTTTGGTGTCATTATGTTATGAAACAAAACAGACAGTAATGGATTTGACGGACACACTCACCTGTCTGGATATGTTTCAGCTGCACCTGAGGCTGACCCACCACTATGTGGCTGTGGGGTTGACCCCTGAGCGTCACCATGGGAGTGGTTGTCAGGGTTACCTGAGGGGGCTTCACTATTGCCCCCTGCTGTGGAGGCTGCAATACCTGAACAACATTGAATGCAATTCTATAATTACAACCGATGAGAGAATTTTAGGCCAGCTAATAGAACGTTCATTAATCATGTAATTTTGTTTTTAAATATTTGTTTATATATGAATTAATATTTATTACTGTTATAATAGAATGTATACATATTTTTTCACATTTGTTTCAAATAATTAAGTAATATAATAATAATAATAACAAGAGATGCCTTTGCACCTAATTATAATAAAATTATTATTTGTTTATATCATATAATAGCAATTACTATTATTATTATTGTTATCATATACTAATAATAATATGTGGAATGGGACTCAGAATTAAATTTAACCTTTTATTAACACAAAGTTTCATAAAATATTTCCATGTTATTATAATTGCAATATGACTTATTTCAACAAAACTTTTTTGAATCCGTATCTTTAACTACATGTTGTCACACAAAGTTAATACTGATTTAATCTCGTGATCTTTAGGTACACATAAACCATGAAAAAATTATTCAAAATTAATCTGATAATCTTTTTTCTGAAAGGTTCATACAAAAGAAGAGTCATTTATTTGTGAATCAGACTGACCAGTTGCGTTGCAGTGTCTATACCCGTTTGTTGATGCAGAGCAAGAAACAATTATCTGTACACTTTAGTGAAGAATGCAGATATTCAAGAAACATTAACAAAACTATGTCATAAAAAATCATTTTGCTTTTTTTCTGAATAAGAACTGGTTCACAATTCCTAACCCTTGTCCTTTATTAGTATTATCAGGCACAAAACCTTACTCTTTGTCACCGACAGTCAATATTCCACACTAAAGTGTAAGAAACATCAGTTAGTTATAATGATATGCATATGATGTTTCCTATTGTATTAATTGACACAGCTCAGAGTGATTTTTTACTTTGCCACAAGGCAAATACAGGCATTACCATTCAACAATTTAAACTATGTACTAAAGCAATTAAACTCCAATCATTTAGCTCAGTGTAAATTAAGACTAAACACCTAATTTTACCTGCAATGTGCTGTTAGCATTAATAATCCCAACAGTGTCCTTTCACCTCACTAAACAACACATCAAGTAAATTATGCATGTAGGTCTGTGTTTACCAGAGAGGCAGTCTGGCTGGAGTTGCTGAGGGCAGGCTGGATGAGCGTGCGGGGAGCTGTGGCGGTGGCACCAGCCGTGTTAGAGCTGGTCAGCACCACAGCGGGCGCCTGGAGGGCCTGGCTCTGCTGGATGAAGGC